ATATGCTTAAACTTAGATACTTAAGTTAAGTTTTCTTTGTCATCATTTCTGTCGTTAAGTTTTACATTGCAAGTAAATAAAACTGAGTAATTATCATTCTATGTTTTCTTCTTCAACTTATCACAGCAATAGTAACAACAATTAGGTAATCATTGGCTGTTGCGGGCCAGATTGATGACAGTAAATCATTGGCTGTCGCGGGCCGGATTGATAACACTGGCGGCCGGATTTGGCCCGCGGGCCGTAGTTTGGAGACCCCTGGTATAGAGTAAACACTCTATTTAAAGAGGAGCAATTTCCCAAGTTTAAAAATGTCATATTTTAGGTGGGAGTGGAAATTAGCATGATACAGGATCAGCAGCATCTCTTCACTACAATGATTTGTCATAAACCTCAAAAAGTAGCACAATTTTCTCAGTTTTGTGCATAAATTGTCAATATGTGGGGTCCAGATTGAGTTTGCGTCAAAAGTTATACCCAGCATTTTAACCGATGTTGACGTTTCTATTTCACTGGGGGAACCATCAAAAAGTCTACAGTTTAGATTGTGCCCACGCAGAGTAATTAACATAGCATTAGCTTTTGATGTATTTAACTTCAGATTATTGTTTTTCGACCACTTCAGAGTTCCAGAGTATTTCCGGCTACAATTTTCAATGCATTCAGATCGGTCTGGGCTACTAATACATTATTAGTATCATTGGCATAACACACCATATGTATATTTGAGTTGTTAGTCATGTTGAGATATCTTATGTGGTATTTTGTATAAACTATATAGAGAAATGGTCCCAGGATCGAGCCTTGCGGAACTCCTTGAGGTATGTGTAAGGTATCTGAGTAGGACTGATTAAGTTTCACAGCTTGCTTTCGATTGCTTAGAGAAGACTAGAAACTCTTTCAATTATTATGTACCTATTCAAGAGAAATCTGAACAATAACTGGCATACTTTTGGTTGGAAGCAGGCAGAAGTTTTGACAAAGGTATCCCTTGGTAGTATTAATTATTGGTATATGAGAAAACAAGTGGAATTTGAAAACCCATTCCAATCTCATTCTTCAAAGAGGTTCGACAATGGTAAGATGTTAAACTCCGGTTGGTCGTTCAACAGGAAACCCGAACGTTAACCCTTATTTATTTTCAGAGACTCCAGCAGGTTCAACTTCTGTCCCTCAGTTTCTACAAGGAGTGTGTCGTACATAGTGTTGAAATGATCATTCTTCAAAAGGTGCCACGCATATGTGGAGTTGGTCCTTTACAGTTCAAAACTTCTTTTACGTTCGAAAATAGAAAGAACCTGCCAGAGTCTCTGAAAATCAATGAGGGTAAATATTCAAATTTCCTATTGAACCACCCATCATTGTTAAACCTTTTTTCATAATGTCAAGACTTATTCATATTCAAAATTCACCTGCTGTCTAAGAATTGAAATTGTAATGGTTTTTGAAGTTATACTTCTTTTGACGCGTTAGGGAAAAATGATGAGAGTAAATTTTTACGATGCGCGAGCACACCGTCACGAAAAACCGACACCCTGAAGTTAGCTTCTTCTTCTTCTTCAATTTATATGGCGAGCGCATTTAGCCAAACCCTTCTGTCCATAGTGAACAGAAGCTTCGTCCGGGGGCGCAGCTTTCTTGCTCGAAGCAATGCTGCCACCCTAAGTTTTCTCATACGGCCTGGTTACTGGCGTAGGGGACCGCTAGTTCACTCAAAATGACTTTCACTTTAATATTTATTCGAACTTGACTTTATTTTTTTAAAAACATCCCACCAGTGTGTACAATTACTAGCGATGTAGCTACGGCTTCCAGAATAAAAATTGTATTTGTGAAAATTGGCTAATTATTTTCATGGATAGCGTTATTGATTTTCATTAAATAGGTAGGGGAACGAATTTGTAGTAATTTTGAAATGAATTGATTCCAATAGTGTTATATGTTATTATGTCAGAGATATTCTTACCAGATGTATGATTGGCGCAATTTTCAATTTCACCAAGATTATTGACGGGGTTATAGGTGGCGCACTCTTTGGTTGGGAAGACTACTTTGGCGTTTTTGTCGGCCTTGTCCATGAGACAGTTGATGAATGCAAGGCTGATTTTATTGAATCCGTAACCGGGGGTGTTTAGCCCATTGTCAATGTGCTTCAGGGCGCAAGCTTGAATTTTGTTTCCTTGACATTCCTGTTCTCCATGATGACACTCGAAACGCCATTCGTTGATATCAAATGTGGCCTGAAAAAATAATAATAAATAAATGAACATCAACCTTAAAATGTTTCCAATAAATAAATGTGGTGATTTTGAAGCACAACCCAAGCTATATTTCTGTGGCAATAACATATGGAAAATGTTTCTCCAACATTTTTTTTCATGGGATCGAAACAGATTTTCTCTAATACAGTGTGTCTCACACCTTTAATTTTTTTGAAATGATCTCGGAAATGCATCGAGCTAGAACATCGGCCTCCTTATTTTGAACAGATAGCTAGATAGCATAATAGCCCCCTGTAGTCTACAACAGTTCCTTATGAGAATGATGTCTCAACAACCACTGTCAAGAAATACTCAGATGACATATAACATTTCCTTACAATATTAGGATATTACATGAATTAAATGAAGATGACCCTAACAAAGGAGAGAAAGAGTATTTCAATATGCGTTCTAATGCAACAGTCATAGTTTACATGCATCTTGAAGGCAATATATCTCAGGAAATTAAGCTGTACAGCCTCAAGTTTCGCTTTATGTGGATCAAAAATAAAGAGACTTGTAAGTTATCCACAAAGTCACCGAGATATTTCTACCCGCTATGCCCCTTGAGGATGCCGCTAACGAGCCATTGAAATAGTGAGTTGCGACAAAGAACATCAAAAGAGGCGGCCGACCGATTTGTTTTGTATTTTGTATATTCATTTATTCAATTTGTTGAGAGTAAATGATTTTAATGCAGTACGCCTATGGAACTAATATACATATACTGCTGTAGTTTAATTCATTTCTGGACGGACTATAGATCCTTGGTTTCAAAAGCAGAATGTAAGGTCAGATTATTCAAACTATATTAGAAAGTGATTCAGTGATGTGTTCGATGAAAGCAAAGAATTATGGCATTTGGATACGTTCAAAAACATTCTATTTTGGGTAAACCCGTTAAATAGGCAAAATATACCTACCAAGAATATATTACATTTGTGATGTGTTCGATGAAAGCAAAGAATTATGGCATTTGGATACGTTCAAAAACATTCTATTTTGGGTAAACCCGTTAAATAGGCAAAATATACCTGCCAAGAATATATTACATTAATTAAATGAAGGTGATCCTGCCAAAAAATACAGTTGTGTGATTAAATCTCTGAACGTTTGATTGGAAATCAAAACTGCATAAACAGTTTTTTTTTATTTGAAAAATTACAAGGTCAACCACGAGAGTTATTGGAGGTGGTATGAATATTCATACTCAAAACTAATGAAATTAATGGCGTTTTAGATTTTGTATTATGTTCACTGATCGAAGAAATTACATAATATTACTAATTCAACTTTTCTGTAGATTTTCTCGAAGGTCATTTTATAGTCCACAGCATTCTCTTTGTGGTGTTGTGTTTTAACTGTGAGGTGTGCTTTGATAAGATTAATGCATTTCTGTATTGCATTTATCCACATTAAATACATTTTGTAATTAACACATCCATTGTTTATTATACATAAAAAACAAAGTACAAAGAGTCATAGAACATATATATTGGAACTCCGTTCTATGTTATCTATCTATATATTGACAGTATATATATTTCTAACATGCTTTACAGGATTCGCAAATAACAGGTTCTTCTTTCTGGAAGATATGCTGGTGGGTCAATTTGGTCTGTCTGAGTCGTAATCTGGAGTAATTTACTTGTATGATGTCTTCTACTCATTCCTTCTGCTACGTTCTCCCATCTTGTGAACCACTGTTGTCAAACCTTCTATTTATAGCCCATTTGAAATCTTGATATAGGATTGAGGGGACTTTTATGGCTTCTGGATTTTCAAGGACTTGTTGTATTCCTTGATCTGCCATTTCATTGCCACTGGTTCCGATGTGAAAAGGAATAAATACAATCTCAAGATGTGTATTCGCCTGGTACAATTTGGATAGCTCCTATTTTATGTGTTCTAACAGTTGGTTTTTCAAGTACAACTGATTGATTCCTTCTTTGCACTGGGTGAATCAGTAATTATAACTGTTAGACATAGATTTTTTTGATTTTGATATACCTTTGAAAAGTATTTGTTTCAGTGATGAATGAACTTTTTCCTTAACGCGAAAGTTCACCGCCAAAATGTGCGACATTGGTCAGCCAGAAAATTCACATATTTTTCGAGAAGGTTACACCCAAACTCCCATATATCTGAAGGAAAATCTGATTGGTGATTTATATTTGGAAATTCTTCAATTTACCCACGGATTCGAAGAAATTTGGCCAGCAATCAAGATGAATTCGAAAATCCAATTGTTTTCCAACAAGATGGAGCGCCACTCAATTTTTTCAGTCCTGTAAGGGATTGCTTGGATTAGACATACACAAACATGTGGATTGGTAAGCGTTGTTTGCTGGATTGACCTGCTCGTTCACTAGATTTGAATCCTCTCGATTTTTTCCTTTGGGGCTATATCAAATTGAAAGTCAATGTTGCTCACCCTGGGGCAATATGAGAACTTGGAGACATAATTTCCGAAACTTGTGACAGAATTAATACAGAAACTTTTCAAAATGTCAGAAATGAGTTAGAAGACACACTCTGTTTTACTGTCAGGGGATTCAAGGGGAACAATTTAAACATTAGTTCAAATAATTATGACGTTAATAACGAAGTCCCTTGATATTAACACTTATCTGTTGCAAAAGATATCACTAATGTATTTCTCTATCCAATGAACATACATTTGAAAAAATTTGACATAGGGTGGCGGCGTTACGAAATTCAATATATATAATAATTGAAATATATCGCAGACAACTTTCTCATACCTGAATGTTGATTCAATATGTGACAAACACGTTCTTTTTACATGTTCATAACCTCTGCTATCTCTATCACTTCAATTCGGCGGTCGTCTAGCACCATTTGGTGAACTTCGGCAATGTTTTCTTCGGTAGTTGCAGTTTTTGGACGTCCCGAACGTTCATCATCTCTCAAGCTCTTACGGCCACGTTTGAATTCAACTGTTGAAAATTTCACTGTGGTAAATGATGGTGCAGAGTCCCCATACACAGAATCCAACTCATCTTTGACTATATAATAAACTCTAGTATAAAAAACTCCTATTTTCCACAGTTATGGAAGGAAGCTCTCGTCAATCATCTGCCATCAGAGTTTTCACACTTACGTTCAGTTTCGATTCTACCTGTTCTTTCAAAAGTGCAACTCGATAAATTATCTACCAGCGAAACAATCAGGTTTTCGGCCAGCTTACAGCTGTAGCTCTGTATTGACTGATGTGTCAGATGATGTTCTGAGGGGAATGGATGAAAGTAAGGCAACGATCCTGGTACTCCTAGACTACACAAAAGCGTTCGATATGTTGAATCAAAGAATTCTATTGGCTTTTCTGTGCGAGCTTGCGATTTGATAAAATCATTCCTAACGAACAGATTACAGCGAGTAGTGTAAAAATGAGACATCGACGGCGATTACTGTCACCACAGGTGTACCTCAAGAGGGTATTTTGGGTCCATTATCTTATGCAATTTATACTGCACAGTTCATAAAGTCATTAACTCGTTGCAAGTATCATCTATACGCAGATGACGCAGCTATACTTTTCCTTCAATCCATCAGATACTGCAGCAGCAGAATATTCCGTCAACTATGATCTGCAAAAACTTTTTGAAATATCTAATGAACATTTATTGAAAAGCAATCCAAAAAATGGTTATACTTTTTTGTAACGATAGAATCAGAGAAAAATTGCAGGCAACTTTGAACTAATAGCTAATAATATTATTTCTTTTAGAACATCCGCTAGAAATCTGGGTCAACCTCTTGTTCGAGGTTGATATTTGGTATGAGGCAAAGACAGAGAGTGTCGCATAAACTCAAGGAAATAAACTGGATGAATATGTATAATCGAAAACTACTTCATACAACCTGTTTCTTATGTAGAATTTTAAAATACGAAAAACCTCCTTATTTACATAAAAAAATCATCTTTAGAAGCCATTCTCATAATGTCAATATTCGTAGAAGAGGAATTTTAACTATACCCTCCCATAAGAAAGAGATATTTGATCGTTCCTTCACATACTGCACGGCAAATCTTCTGAATGAATTCCGGAAAAATGATAAAAGAGGAGCTATCTCAACATTAATATATTTAGTACTCAACTGGCAATTTTCATAATATTCGAAATATAATAATCTTAGTCGATTACCGTTTACTTAAATATATGCATTTTCCCTCTGGGCCTCAACAGCACCTGATCTCGTATCAGAAAGCTGACAATAAGCCAATTAATCTGTATATCACAAAATACATATGTATTTTCACACTGGTCATGTAATTGTGAATTAGGATTAATAAACATCTTATTATTATTATTATATGCGTAGGCGTATTGTCTTTTAAAAACAAATGTTTAGTAACAGCTCCATTTTCATACAATCGCTGACTTTAACTCACTCAAACGACTGTTACATAACAACTACGCGTTCAAAATGACTGAAACATTGGTGAGTAACTGTCAACAGATGAACAACGAAATTTTTGTTGAGTTTGGAAGCTTTTCAGACCACCCTCGTACATGCATAAAAAAGATATTTTACACCATGAAAGAATTGTTAAATAGTTTCGAATTTTTTCATTACATGAACTGACCGCTCGAACCACATTCGGAAGTTGTTATCAAACATCTTGTACAAAAAAAAATTGTTTGGGTTACTAACCGGGACAAAGCGTGAGTTCAATTAACTTTAATTGATCCTGCTATGACAATGAAAAAAGATATAACGTAGATTTTGACATTCCAGCGTAGTCATCGTGCTTATCAAATTATGATGATGATGAATTACGACCGAGGTTGGGCACTTCATGATTCACGAAGTCTTTCGCGGTCTGAGGATCGCCCCTTTAATAACGGCTGGACAGACAACGAGTTTTCGATAATGTTCATCCAAATCGGAGTACACATATTAGTCTTCGCTAATCTGTTTACCACATGAAACATATTTTCTAATAAATTCAGTAATCGGATAAATATATCACGAATGTATTGCCTAACAATGTTCCACCCGGAGGCCCGCCGTAATCGGCGTACATTGCACGTAGGCGGCATATCCAAGGGGCGGCAAATTGAGCGACTCGTCACGTATTCAAAGCCATTGTTCTATTAAATAGCCACCTTACCTACAGCTCAAGAAACGTGATCGCATAGAAAAATTTCACGACCGTTGCGGCGCGCAATCTTAGCTTTAACATCGCCATCTATTGGCATCTGTTAAAACTGAGATGCAATACCAAACGTCGTTTGGCTATCTCCTGGTCAAAATCTGTTCCATCATCGCTTTGGAGTAGGTTAGGTTAGGATAGGTCTAAAGTGAGTGGGTCTATTCGACCCGCCACCGCAACCCGGAAGGGTTTATTGTGACTCACACCTATTCACACTTGACCAAACAAACCCAATTTCTTAACGAAGCCGATAAGTTTGTATGGTGAGTAATCTTTCAGGTCAGATGGTAAGAGTACTGCTCTGCAGTAATCTGTACTGCAGTCCCCAGCGGGGCAGGCGGTACAGAGTACTGCCTGCCCCGCTGGGGACAAACATAGGCGCCACATACTGTCTTCTGTCAGACCAAGTCTCTACATATGATGATTCAAATGACAGTGACCTGTAAGAATGCCTGTTAGACATCGTAGTTCATCCCTACTGTTTGGTATCAATCGTCGAAGGGTGAATACACGCCTTGGAGTGTGCCAATCCTGGAGGATTCTGCTAGAAGTCCATAAATCTTCTTGCCATCCAGGTGTTCAATGTTTGTTTGGCGGAGCCTAAAGCGATACCAATGACAGGTTCTGGTCCGATGAAGCTGCTTGCAACACCTTCCTTTGCAAGGGAGTCAGCAGCTTCGTTGCCTTCCAGACCAGTATGGCCAGGAATCCAGACCAGAGACAATCTGTTGAATATTTCTATCGAGGAGAGTCGTTATTGGCAATTTGCTACAAAATTAGACGTTGCTCGGTAGGAGCCAAGCTTCTAGCGCCGCTTGACTGTCCGAAAATATTTTTAATGACTTGTGTGTGAGGTTGGATTTATCCAATCTCTCCGCACACAATTCAATAGCGTAAATTTCCGCTTGAAATATAGTCGCATAAGTTCCTAGGCAGGTAGATATCTCTGTTCTGGGTCTGCGACTAAAAACACACCAGAACCGGAAGGTGTTTTTGATCCATCTATGAACAAACAACTATCTTCTCTTAATATTTCCTTCTCACGGAGGATCTAGTCCTCTCTGCTCGGGAATAGTACTTTATAAGGCAGTTCGTAGTTGACAGTTGGAGGCATAAAGTCAGAAGTCATTTCCAGAATGCTGTGACTTCCAGTGTCAGCCAACAGTATATTGCACTCTGCAATTTGTGCAATTGGTAATGTGCCCAAGTCTGTATGCAGTCCATGTAGCCTCTCTCTCCAGAAAAATATGGAGAGGAGGTAGATCTAGAAGGGTCTCCATGGTCGCTGACGGTGTGGTACTGATGGCACCACTGATAGCCAGGCAAGCCTGTCTCTGTAAGCTAGAGAGCTTCGCTTGGGCCGCTTTCTGTAAAGCTTTCGGCAACCAGTCAATTGCACCATAAGTGATAATTGGTCTAACAATCATCACATAAATCCAGTGGATTTGTTTGGGACCTAAACCCCAAGTTTTACCACAAATCCTTCGACATGTTCATAGAGACAGTCTGGCTTTGTGTAAAACTTTTTCCAAGTGAGCGTTCCAGGTGAGTCTTTTATCAAGGATGATGTCAAGATATTTCACCTCCGTTCCAAATGGAATGACCTCACCAGTAAGGGAAAGTGGCGTTAGATCGTCCAATGTTCTCCTCTGGGTGAAGGTTATTAACACAGTTTTGCTGGGATTGACAGACATCTGCTCCCTCAGGCACCAACTGTGAACAACGTCCAACACGCTTTGGAGGATATTACAAGCTACCCTTCCCGATGTGGACCTTGCCAGGATGACAAGGTCATCTGCATAAGCCTGCAGATCTACTTCTGTCGAGGGCATCAAGCAGACTATTTATCAGGAGCGACCACACAAGGGGAGATAGTATCCTTGAGGATAGCCCCTGGTGACCCTGAACCTAATGGCTTCGCCTTGAAGAGTCGTAGTTGCAGTTCTGTTTACTAACATGGCATAGATCCAGCCAGCTTTGGAGTAACTCGAGACCTTCCTTCGTATTCCAAAAGCATGATTCACAAGAGTTATGATGACTCCGCTTTGGTAGATTGATGGTGGTTGGATTCGTGGTTCAGATACTGTCCCATGTGAATGGAGTTATACAGATATCGCTATACAGATGTTTCCCACTTATTGTGCGTCTTCTTACTTCTAAGAATGACAATTCGTTATGGACGGTCTTACGCTGTTGATCTGTTTTAAGAAGGCGTCTAGTTCAGTATTCCCATGGTTCCATATTATGAAGGTGTCGTCAACGTATCTCAACCAGACACGAGGTTTCTTGTGGGCTTTTTCAATGGCCAGAGTTTTAAAACACTCCATGTTATATGTTGGCTATGATTGGTGAAAGTGGCGATCCCATTGACAGTCCCTCATCTTGTGTAAAGAATTCGTCTTTCAGTTGGAAATAACAGTTTCGTACACAGCATCCTAGTAATTCCATAATTACTTCTATAGGTAAATTCGTTCTAGCTTCCAGATCCCCGTCTTTAGATAGCTTCCTTTGTATGATTTGGAGTGTTTCTTCGACTGGAACGTTGGTGTAAAGGCTTTCTACGTCGAAAATGGTTAGGTGATCTTCTAGTGTGATTTCAATTGCCCCTAGTAGTTCGACAAAATGCCTTGAATTATTCACAAAAGACTATGTTTTTCCTTGTAATGGTTGTATTATGGGGAGTAAAAATCTGGACGTGTTTTGAGTAGCCGAAACTCTGGAAATAATGATCGATCTGAGCTGAACACCCTTCTTGTGGATTTTGGGTAGTCCACACAGGTGAGGGGGTTACTATAGTGCGGTATTATCGATGATCTCTTTTCCGTAAAAAAAGACTTGGTGTCTGGTACAACTTCCTTTCAACTGATGCAGTAGGGTCCCATACACTCTTCATGTATTCTCCGTTCTGGAGAACATCTTCGATCTTCTGTTTGTAGAGATCCATATCCATCACAGCAGTAGCGTTTCTCTCATCTGCAGGCAGGGTTTTGATGGTGTTATCTCTTCGGAGGCCATTCAGAGCTCTCCTCACCATCGCTGATGTTGGAACTAGTTCCGTGGTAGCAGACGAAAAATCAGGTATAACAACCAGCATACTACGACTAATAAACACGAAAAAATCTGTTCAAAATCTGTTTTTCCGTTAACCAGCTGTCGCACCCCTACGAACGACAAGCCTCAGAAGTCGAAGCTTGTGCGACCAGAGGATTAACGAGGTCTTACCTTTTAACGTGTAATTCCTAACACGAACAATTTGTTAAATTCCATGTATGCAACTTCGATCAAGAGGCTTATTGATGAAACATTTCTGCAAAATTGATTGTAGTGATTGTTGTAAAAGTTATATGCATTGTCGTATATTTGTAGGTGGGTGTGTGTGTATCAATGTCTATAAAATTAAACTTCTATTTTTGTATATGCGTATACGTGGATTTTTATTTTATTTATTAGGTAATCTACAAAACAAGTAGTTCCAATAATCGATTACAATATCAAAAACTGATTAAATAACTATTGAATAACCAATGACTGAAAATAAATGAATTTTTTCTGTACCTTTTCAATTTCATTTTTATGAACTGAATAATAAGGAGATCATATTATTGCACCATATTTCAGTATACTACGGACAAATGCATTAAAAAGTGTTAGTAATGTGGATATTTTTGTGAATTCGAATGAGTTCCTAATAATGAAGCCAAGCATTCTATAGGTATGCTCTGTTTATAATGTTGGTCATATGTTAACACATACGAGGGTGTGTGTTAAGAGATGTATGTTTGCGTATGTATGTGTGTAAATAATATATGCATTATAATATAGAACTAAACTTAGTTTTTAGAATTGACACTCACCTTAGATTTCCCATACGGAACCAAAGTAAGGTTAACAAAACTGGAGAGATTTCCTTGAAGTGATGGATACAGTTGAAGGGTGAAAAACTTCCTTGAATCGGGGCATAATGATTCATAGTAGACTGATACGTTAACCTGAAATTGATGAAAAACAATAATATTATGAATTACTTGGAAACGTGTAAAAATTTCAAGTGCATTTTTAGTGAGTATCAGTATCAGTTCACAAGTCCAATAATGAAAGTGTACCAACAAAATCAAAGAAAAAACGTATGAATTGGATAAGTGTTCAGTGGGATATTACAGTATTACAGCGGATTGAAACTATGGGTAAGCATACTACAGGAACATCCTTTTTGGAAGCATAACCAACGCGATCCAGTTAGATCCTGTATTGCGAAATGGGATAGATTTTCAACAAGATCAGACCCCTCCTGTGCGATCTGTGCGACAGTTCCTCGATAATAACATTTCAGGTGGAACGATTGAAAGGGAAGGCTCTACAGCACTGCCACTCAGATCCCCCGATTTGACTCCATTGGACTTTTTGCTATGGGTATGGTTGAAATCAAAACTGTAGATGATTAATGGGAATATATCACCACTTGATATTCTTCAGATTATAACGGGGTTAAACAAAAGCTCGTTTATGCCATTTCATGCAAGTTGATGATCAGTTCGAACATTTGATTAAGTGAATGTTCCGGTTCAGTTTCACTTTATATAGTTTGCGATCAACCACGAACTCCAAAAAGTATTTTATTGCTTGCAACTAAAGTCTATCCAAATCCAAGATAGAGTAAAACAAGACAAAACCGAAGCGTGATGTTCACGTAATCGCCCAGTGTCAGATGGAAAGGGCAGCGTTCATTGGTGAATTCGCCTTCTTGGTACGAGTTCGGTACCAGCACAGGGTTGTAATCAGTCGTTTACGTGTTTGTGTGGCGTGAATTATAGTATATTGTTCAAAATTGTTTTCCAAGATGTCCAGTACAGATCGCAATAGTTTATTATTGGATAAAGAGGAAATTGTGTTATGGAGGAGAGAGTATTTGACCAAAATTAAATTTTACAGGGAACAACAGAGAACAATTTATTATATGGATGAAACCTGGGTTAAGGCTGGTCATACTACCCCTAAAGTATGGGCCTTTCTAGATGGACTATCCACCGGATTAACAAATCCATCAGGAAAACTTATATTTATATTAAGACCTGCCTCAATCTCAATATATAAAAAGTAATCCTCGTATTTGTTTTATTTACTTACATACCTCATTATTTCAGGTGAAGGAAAACGGCTTTATTATTTGTCACATCGGCAATGAGAATGGGTTTGTTGCTGAAGGGCTGTGGTGTTTCGAGTCGAAGAAAACTGGAGATTATCACAAAGAAATGAACGGTGAATCTTTCGAAGAGTGGTTTTCCAAAGTTCTACCCCATCAGGGGGATAATGCTCTGATTGTAATGGACAATGCACCTTATCATTCGCGACGGTTAGAGAAGATTCCGACAACGTCTTCAAAGAAGGTTGAAATCCAAAATTGGCTACGATCAAAGAATATTAGCTTTGAAGACTCGATGCTAAGAGTACAGCTACTAAAAATTGTCAAGGAGCGCAAGCTTGAATACCAAAAATATATAGTCGATGAGATGGCAGCAGGCCAAAACAAAATTGTCCTTCGCCTGCCTCCATACCACTGCGAGCTCAATCCCATCGAGTTAATATGGGCGGATGTGAAGAATTTTGTAGCTCAGCATAACACCACGTTCAAATTTGCAGATCTCAAAGTACTTTTTGATGAGGCTTTGAAAAGAGTCACAGCGGAGAAATGGGAGAAGTGTGTTCGGCATGTGATATCGGAAGTCGAGACAAAGATGTGGAAGCTTGATAACATAATAGAGGCACAAATCGAGCCACTGATAATTCAGATTGGTGAGGATGACACTACTGATGAAGAGACAAATTTATCCAGTTGAATAATTTAGATTAATATTCCATTTGATTTTACATAAAATAAAAATTATCAATAAAGAAATAATTACGTCTCTTTTCATATAATGCTTGAGTGCGCTGTGAAAAATCCAATAAAAATCTTTTTATATTACACATATTATCTGCATTTTTCCCGTTAAGCTGCAAAACTTGTGCATTTCACTCGTTATTATAAAAAAGTTTTCCTAAGTATGATATAGCATTTGCGATCAACAAGATGTTGGTTCTGAATACGACCCAGGCCCATTCTTGGGATTTTCAATATCACGTGCGTAGGGCATGTCAATTTTTACATCCACTCTATCTTGGATTTGAATTTGCTTTAGAGTTGGTGTGTTTCACGTTTTCTTACAGTCCCAGTATCAAAAGGCTTATCCAGGGTGGGACATGTTATATAGCAGGTGTTGTAAATGTTTATCGTCGTTTGCACGTAACCTTTTCCCTCCAAAACAAAAAGGAGATGGGGTTCAGATTAGAAACTCATTTACATTAAAATGGGGTGAGGTTTTTACACATGAACAATTACGAATTCACGAATGAACTCTTTTAGAGAAAGGGTATTCAACCGACAGTTGAGTAACATTTGAATGTTACTCAAACATGAAATTGTAAACAAAGGGGCAAATAAAACAGGAGTGTGTGGTGGCAGCGTCTACAAAATTATCAAAGAATATACCAATAACCATCATACCAGTATTAAAAGTAGCATTATTAACTGTATTGTTTTATTGGACAATGCTTCGTAACATTCTAGGAAACTGGAAAAAATCCAACTACAGCCTCAAGAAAACATGGCTGCGTTCTAAAATGTGAAGGGATTTTACTTAAAGTGGAACTTTTAGTTGATGAGCACAGAAAAAATTTGACAAATTGATAAAGTTAAAGCTCAAAATAAAATTGTTTTAAGCCTACCACTATATCACTGCGAACTTAATTTCGTTGAGTTAATTTGTGCTGATATTAAAAATCTCAGGAATGTAGGCTTTCAAGAAACAAACCAAAACATTGAACACAGTTGGTATAAACACGTTTGCGAAAATGCCCTCCACCATTGCTGAGTTTCTGAACCTCCCGGAACACAAGGAATATATAGGTCACTGCTTCAGAAGGTGTTCTGCTTCTTTGCTAGCAGAATCAGGAGCAAATATAACAGATATTTAGAAGCACGGAGGATGGAAGTCTACAACAGTGGCTGAGGGTTACATCGATCAATCTATTTCTTATATCGCTGAAAGACTAATCCCAACAGCTCCAGCGTTACATCACCATCCTCTTCACTTCAATAATTAAATGTTAATGCCCATGAAATTGTCAACTCAGCTAGTTCAAATATCTTACAAGGCTCTTCAACATCGCAAGGTATCAATATAAGCAATAGTTCTAATTCTTTTCATATTAATGTTCATAAATAATAATAATAATGCAATTAATGTACATAATACATTTGTAACAGAATTTAATTGTATCTATATCTATTGGAAAATTGAATAATTATGTTTTGTTTATTGCTATTTGATAGAAAAAAATCGTGTTAAAAATATTTTTAACATTAGGTAGTCACTTTTAATGACAGTTGTACAAAAATATAGGTACTTTATTGTCCAAGAAATCAAGTTCTTATTGATAAAGCATGTTATACATAATTTCAAAGAATTCGGGACCCATCCTTTACTTCCTTCGCAATGCACAATAATTACTTGCTATCCTTTGTTTGCAGGCATGTTAGGCGTACATATTCTCGAACCATCAGTCCACCCTTTCGTAACTGTGTTGTGAGTGTCATACCAAGTTTCGTCCAAATAGAAAATTTGCAGTTGTTCTTGTCTATATTTAGTTATTTGTTCTAAGTATTTCTTACGCAATTCCACTATTCTTCGTTTTCCATAACTGCCTGACTTTTGTTTATTATTTTAAATCTAAATCCTAGTTTCTTTATCCAATTCTGAAGAGTTTTGTCACAGCAGCTCACGTTATGGCCGGAAGTATTCAATTTCTTCCTTATGATTTCAGTTGTAGGAACATCTGAAGGTTTTGGTAATCCCGTATCACATCGAATCTTGCGTTCATAAGATTTGTTTTTGACTATTTTACGTTGAGTTTGTTTCTCTCGAAACCAAACTTGATATGTAGATTCTTATATACATTGAAACATACTCTCTGTGTTTCAATATTCAAATGCATCCGTGGACTAGTTCGTAGTGGCATCATTTCTCTGTATTGGTCATACACCAAATATTACTCCAAGAAAGTTATTAAAATAACTGTCAATAGCGGCATTATACTTTTACTTTTTTTTCTCCAGTTTTCTCTCGAATATGTGTGTATTTTACTTATTAATGAAGTGTAATTAAAAGCAAAAGTGTGGTTTTAGAAACCAACCGGAAATTTAGTAATCGACATTCTCGACGATTCATTCATACTTTCAATCACAACAGTATGCGAGACGAATTTCATATGGAAATATCGGGACACCAAATGCGAATACATAAATAGAAAATAATCATCCATTGTAATATTCTACATGAGTTTCAAGAACCCAGTCGGCGTCATTTTCTAATATAACATGCATATTGTTTTTGGTTTGGATATATAAACAATGTTTGAGGTATTCCAAAGCGTTATATCAATATAACGTGCATGCAAGAGCTTGTTATTACCAACAGATTCAGTAGCGTACCTTGAGTATGTAAAAAAATACTTAGATATTCGAAATCGCGCGAGTAATGCGTACATTCCAAGGGAAATGGTGCGAAAGAGAGGCAACGAACAGGTAGAATCAAATGGAGCCGAAGTGGCGACAACCGCTCTTAAGATGTCCATCTTAAAATCAACAAATTTAGCCATTCTTGCCATAGAAAACGATATAAATGTTGATGTAGATGGTTGTGTAGAGGAAATTCCTGATTCCCATTCTTGATGCTTATATACGCTATACAAAGAACCTACCTGCATATTTCAAGACTCTAGGTCCAGCAACTTCGGCTGTACGTTAATATAAGTACGTAAAAAAATATGCCAACTGCACTAAGTAATGAATAGCTTCGAGAATCGAATTATGACCTATGTTGCGTTCTCGGCGATGGCGCTTCATTGCTTAGACCGCCCCTGTACCCCCGCGCATCGTCCCTCGTCGTCCTAC